CTGAGGAAACCAAGGAGATCCAACGGCAAGTTGATGAGTTACTAGCCAAAGGATTCGTGAGAGAAAGCTTGAGCCCCTGTGCTGTTCCGGCTCTTTTGGTGCCAAAGAAAAATGGTACTTGGCGTATGTGTTGTGATAGCCGAGCCCTTAACAAGATTACCATCAAGTATAGGTACCCCATACCTAGGCTTGAGGACATGTTGGATGAACTTCATGGATCCAATATCTTCTCAAAGATTGATCTCCGAAGTGGTTATCATCAAATTCGAATCTTTGAGGGAGACGAATGGAAAACAGCATTCAAGACGAAGTTCGGGTTATACGAGTGGCTAGTTATGCCATTTGGATTAACCAATGCACCAAGCACATTCATGAGACTAATGAATCAAGTGTTGAAGCCATTTATAGGTCACTTTGTCGTAGTATACTTTGACGACATTTTGATCTACAGCCGAAACGAGGAAGATCATGCTAATCACCTCACTTTGGTGATTAAGAAATTGGAAGAAGAGAAGTTATATGGAAACCTTGAGAAGAGTCAATTCTTTTCTCAAGAAACCGAGTTTTTGGGATACTTTATCTCAAGTAAAGGGATCAAAGTCGATGAGAAGAAAACACAAGCCATACGAGATTGGCCCGTTCCCACAACAATGCAGCAAGTTAGAAGCTTCCATGGCCTTGCATCCTTCTATCGGCGATTTGTGAAGGACTTTAGTACGATCACTGCCCCCCTCACGGACTTGACAAAGAATCCGAAGTTTGAGTGGAACTGGAGAGCCCAACAAGCCTTCGAAGCAATCAAGGATCGCTTAACGCATGCCCCCGTACTGGCCCTGCCCAGTTTCGAGAAGTTGTTCGAGGTGGAGTGTGATGCATCGGGAGTTGGCATCGGGGCTGTCCTAACTCAAGAGGGACACCTGGTTTCCTACTTCAGTGAGAAGCTCAATGACACACGGAGACGCTATTCTACCTACGACAAAGAATTCTATGCGTTGGTACGGTCTCTTGAGCATTCGCGACACTATCTCGTGAGTAAGGAATTCATCCTTCACTCCGACCATGAGGCGTTGAAGTACATTCAAGGGCAGCACAAGCTTCGACCCCGTCATGCCAAATGGGTTGAATACATTCAAACCTTTACATTCACCATCAGGCACAAGAACGGGTCCATGAACAAAGGCGCGGATGCGTTGTCCCGGAGACACTTATTACTAACGGTACTTAGTACCAAACTTCTTGGTTTTGAATTTTTGCAGGAACTCTACAAGGATGATGAAGATTTCAAGGAGATGTATGCCCAATGCTTATCTCGGCCCCATGGAGATTACCTAATCAAAGATGGTTACCTCTTTTGTGGTAATCAACTGTGCATCCCGAAGGGCAGCATTCGTGAAACCCTGATAGACGAGGTCCATGGTGGTGGACTAGCCGGTCATTTCGGGATCAACAAGACTTATTTGATGATGAAAGAGCATTACTTCTGGCCCAAAATGGAGAGAGACGTCGAGCACTTCATCAAGAGATGTCACACTTGTCAACTTGCAAAGTCCCAAGCCTTACCCCAAGGAATGCACTTACCCTTACCCGTCCCGTACGCCCCGTGGGAAGATGTTAGCCTGGATTTCATTACCGGGCTGCCCCGAACTCAACGAAGCAAGGATTCCATAATGGTGGTTGTGGATAGATTCTCAAAGATGGCCCATTTCATTCCCTGCGTTACTACATATGATGCTTCCCAAGTAGCTGATCTCTACTTCCGAGAGGTCGTTAAACTCCATGGCATACCCCGCAGCATGGTCTCTGATAGGGATCCCAAATTCCTTAGCCATTTTTGGATGACATTGTGGAGAAAGCTAGGCACAAAGCTCAAATTCAGCACCGCTAGCCATCCGCAAACTGAAGATCAGACCGAGGTCACCAACAGAACGCTTGGAACTCTCCTTCGAGTTCTAATCAAACGAAACATCAAGCAATGGGAAGAGCTACTGCCGCACGCCGAGTTTGCCTACAACCAAACCCCAAGCAAGACCACAGGGCTATCCCCGTTCATGGTGGTCTATGGCTCGAACCCCCTCACCCCACTTGAGCTTGATCCCATCGTAGGAAAAGAGCAATACAGTTGGGCAGCTGATCAACGGTCCAAGGAAATTCAAGAACTCCATGAAAAGGTTCGAGAGAAGATTGAAGCGGTAAATGAGAAAGTTAGTAACACGATCAACAAAGGAAGAAAATTCACAAGTTTTCAGCCCGGGGACTTGGTTTGGATTCACCTAAGGAAAGAGCGTTTTCCCGCTAAACGTAAGTCCAAGTTACTACCAAGAGCCGACGGTCCATTCGAGATTTTAGAGAAGATCAACGACAACGCCTACAAAGTCAATTTGCCTGGAGATTGCGGAGTTTCTGCTACATTCAACGTTAAGGATCTCAGCCCATATTTTGACCCTGAAGAACTTCCGAGTTTGAGGACAAACTCTTCTGAAGACGGGGAGGATGATATATCCCAGAGCACCACAAATCACCCTCGAGTCCTTAAGGAAATCAATGGAATAATGTCCAAGTGTTATGACCCCCTCTGGAATGAAATCATCACCAAACCATGCACCCTAACCATACTTACCCTGAACCCATCACCACCTTAATAACCAATCCCAACATTTCACAATCCATTCCCAGGAATCCAAAGAAAA